TTCATTTTTATCTCTGCAACTTGAGCATGTTTGAAAGTAACCGGGGGAGACATGCTTTGCGCTTTCTAATAAAATTTGATCTGTGCAAATTTGTTGTGAGGGAAAGGAGTTATGATTTTTTAAAAATGGTGAGACAGAACTTTCCGTTCAACCTAATAATAATAAGCGAAGTTCGCACGCACATAAAATATTCCTCATGATACAAAAAAATTGCGATTTTAGTATCTCGCCATTGTCTCCCAATGTAATGCATCCTGAAGCAATTGCTCAATAGAATGCTGAAATCTTTCAGATAGCAATACTCACGAAAAGTTGATCTGAAAATGGAATTTCCTAGTCTACTCAGCGCACAAAACTTCAAAATCTCCATTTTGCTCAAACTCGCGAAATCTGAGCATGATGGTCAAGAAAATGGTACTTATCCAGCGTAGTATAGCCTTTTGAATGAGATTTCGGTGGATGCACGATGAAAACCTGAAGTTTCATATCTGAGGAAACTTTGCATGGGAGCTTTTTGATGCTGATAACGAATATATACAGGGTGTCCCAAAAAAATGCGCACATTGTTTGACCATTAATAACTTTCTCGTTTTAAAGTATTTTCCCGATTTTTAGGACCACTCTAGAGAGCAAACTCCAACTTAGATTTACATTATAAAAAGCTAATCGCAGAACTTCCTTAATTTCTAAAGGGTTAATCTTGAAGGTCGTCGAACTATGTTTTTTTCAGAAATCTAAAAAATTTTCTAATAGGGTTTCCACGCAACTATTTGATTACTCAACCTCTTACGAGTTTTTTGAGCTTTTCCAATGGTGTGATCGCATTTCTGACAAACAACGGAGAGACGGTTGCAACGGTAGATTTGGAATAACTTGTGAAAGAAGTATTACAGAAATGAGCAAACTCAGTAATCAAAATCGCCTTCAACTAGTCTAGTACTCTAGCTTATAATTTTGTCTCAGTCAGAATATGGCTCTCAGTAAAATGAAAAAATTACGAAGTTCTTGGCGTACTACAGTAAAGAAGAGCGATAATTGGTTTGTTCCATATTGTGGATCTAAGCTGGATATAGCTCTAAAGAAGCTATCCAAAGTCCGGAAAAACATCAAAGCAAGAGAGCTATCATCGACTAGTATGCACATTTTTTGGGACACCGTGTATGGAGAATGCCCCAAAAATTGAGCCCATTGTTTGACAATTATACTCTTGTCATGGAGTCTTCAAAGCTTTACATTATTGACTTCAATTCAGATTTACAGCACGGAAAATGGAAAATGGAGAATGGAAAATGCGGCCTGTACAGCATCTCGCTCCTGTTCAATATGTTCATAGCGAAGGGCAATAGGAATACCTAAGAGATAGGAAGACAACGTGAAATTTAGACGTTTGAAACTTCAGGACATAAAGCTTAATTTTAAGCTGCGATTTTTCTCCGCGGTATGTTAGTGCATGCAACCCTAAGTGGGGAAGCGTCATATTTTGCAACTCTAAGGGCCGCATGCACTAACATCCCCGCTGGGGAGGGGATCGCAGCTTAAAAGAAAGCTTTATATTTCGAAACCCCAGATACCTGGATTTCACGTTGTGTACCCATCCGTAAGCATTCCTACTATCCTTCACTATGAACATGTTGAAGAGGAGCGAGAAGCTGCACAAGGCGCATTTTCCAGCTTTGATATGATCCCTGATGATCCACGGGGCCTCTCTTTAAAGTCATTTTTCCTTCTCCAAAGTTAACGAAAAACCTTCAAAGTTGTGCAGATTATCTAAACCGGCAGTGCTAAGCATGTTGCTGATAAGAACAAATGGTGTTTTGAAGTCATGAAAATTTCGATGATCCACGGGTCGAAATTGAGGTTTACCGAAAAATTCGACTTTTCAAAACTCATTTGTTCTCATCAGCAACATGCTTAGTACTGTTGTTTTAGATGTTCAGTACAACTTTGGAGGTTTTTCGTTAACTTCGGGGAGAGAAAAATGACTTTAAAGAAAAGATCCGGGGATCATCAGGGATAATATAAAAGCTGGAAAATGCTTTCGTACAGCTTCTCGCTCCTGTTCAACATGTTCATAGTGAAGGGTAGTAGTAATACTTACGGATAGGTACACAATGTGAAATCCGGGTATCTGGAGTTTCGAAATATAAAGCTTTCTTTTAAGCTGCGATCCCCTCCCCAGCGGGGAGGTTAGTGCATGCGGCCCTAAGAATCTACAGGGTGCGGCAAAAGTCTGGGAGCCTAGTACTTTTTCGTACAAAACGAGAAGGGAAGTACCTAGAAACGAAAAATTTGGCGCACACATAATTCGAACCATTGCAAATGCAGCCCAGTTCTTGAATTGCAAAACTGCCTCTTTTGACTTCCAAGCAGCCCTACAAAATCTTGGCAAGTCCACCTGTCATGGCACGCAGGTAGTCGTAATGGAATTCGCCCCACGCCTCCACAATAACTGCTTCTTTTACCTTGGCAAATGTGCAGCATGATAGAGCAAACTTTTGTTTACAACATACTTCCAAAAGAATTTTTTGCATTGCTTAGGAATAAAAATATTGGATTTTCAATTAGAAGCATGTGTACGTCGCATACCGGAATTTTGGCTACAATTGCGCGAATAAAAGCTCAAAAATATCGTTTGAAAAGTATAAAAAGTGTTCCCATGGGCCGAATTTCAATAGATTCTAATTTAGAAGACGTATGCAAAAAACACAGCCTTGGTCCCAGTGCCTGTTGAGCATTCTATAGCTTTTGAATTTGTTCTGAGAACGGATTTCCACTGGCACGTAGGTAACATCCGCAAACTTTTATTTTCCGTTCATGCAAAAACAGTTCCTGGCAAAAGCAAAACTAGGATACAATAGCGCAAAGCCTCTTCTATGTTGTCTACATCGAAGTTTTGTAAAATATTAACAGCATCTCTAGCTACAGCAAAAATTGTAAATATCAAAAATTCTGGTTTTTTCGCTTTGCAAAAGTAACAGTTTGGTAATGTCCATTCTTACAAAAACATATGGCAGCCATTTCCAGCCAGATAAAGTGTATTCTGTAGAGAATGATCGCAGCATCATGTGGCATAAAATTGAAATCGAAACCATCAGTTTTTTGTAATTGCAGTACTGCAAAGTTAGGCTCCCAGACTTTTGCCGCACCCTGTATATTCTTCTTTTCCTATCCATCGCAAAGGCTCTCATACTCCAATATTTGAGTGTAATGGATAGCACAACACTACCATACAAAATGATATTTTTCTATTTCATGTGGTCTTTGGGGATTTCCAAGAATCGCCTCACATTTTTATAGTCATTTACTTTTCTATGAACTCGATAAATGCTGTAAAGTTGTACAGAGGATATACTATGGTACTGCCAAACATATTCGTAGTGGAAATTAGTGAAAGCTCAGGATATAAAGATCTTCGATAAATGCTGTAAACATAAACCAAAGAACTAGCCCATAGGTGCTATCAAGAACTAACTGACTTGTAGAATATGGATTGATGATTGTCTGGAAATTGTTTAGTCATTCGCAAAGAAAAGAAACATAAAGGTGCTCAAGGACAAAGCACGTAGAAACTTCTGGAAGTCAGATTGTCTTCCCAGTGTATACAGATGCAAACCATTAGCATTATCTTAGTCAAAGTGTCCTGCACAAAAGTTCTAAAAAATTAGTTTTACCTTCAGCGAGTCAGCTTGAGTGAATGCACTTTGAAGAGAGGCGTGTTTTCACATTTTTTTGAGCCAGTGCGGTCCCGAAAAAGGTCACACTTTGAAGAGAGGCGTTTTTCACTATTTTTTGAGTCAGTGCGGTCCCGAAAAAGGTTACAAAATCAATAGAATTTGATTTCACTTTTACATGTACTTTTACAACTCAACTAAATTCGTGTCAATCGGGTAAATCGGGTATTTCTGCGAAAGTTAAAATTCTGACTTTTTTCGATGGAAATCATGATGTCCGAACAAAAGCCTTTTTATGCAGAATTTTGATTAACGGATGGAAAAAGAAACAATGTGCCTTTGAAACTTTACGACACGGCCATTTTATCGATTTCTGTCATTCTGGACATACAAAAAAGAGACAATTCTAAATTAGGACAGTTAGCTCCTTCATCCTCTAAGAAAATTTTCGTGATTTTTAATGTCAAATTTTCTTAAAAGCAATTGTTGTGATTTTTTAGTGCAAACTGATTAACCAACCTAATAGCCCAAAGGAGAGACAAGAGACAGTCATCAAGGGCTCGGCACAGGTGGCTCAAAAGCAAGCCGGATATCGGTCTTGGGACAAAAAGCAAGAGATGTTGTTTTCTTGAGTCCAAAATTAGGTTTTTTAGTCCTCGTCTCGTTTTCTAGTCATTTCGGATATTTTGGACAATGGTCAAGCGGGACTTCGTAAATTACATTTTCAGATAGCCAGCTCGTGTAAAGTCGTAGAGGATATACTATGGAATACCAAACATATTCGCAGTGGAAACTAGTGAAATCTCAGGATATAAGGATCTTTGATAAACCGCTGTTTGCAAACTGAGGTTTATCGAAAAAATCACAACCTGCACAATTCATTTGTTTTGTCGAAAACATCATTAACGGTGTCACAGGAATCCTCAGTACAACTTTACGACATTTTCACCGATTTTCTGAAAGATAGGCCCCGGTCAGACTTCACGCGACTTAATCGTCGCGATCTAATCGCCAAGATTTCCATTCATTTTCATTTCACATCCAAAAATTTCGGTCTGGAAAAGTATCACAACCGAATGCAAGTTCGGCATGGAATGATGTTGTAACAGTTGTCTCGCCGCGATTCAGTCGCGACGATCAAATCGCGTGAAGTCTGTCCGGGGCCATAGACGACCATGAAAACGGGGGTATGGCAATGATCTGCCGTCTATTATGCTCAGTCATCAAGATATAAGAACCTTGATAACACACACACAGAAAAGGACTACAGATATCTAGATTAGCAAAATATGACTCCTCATCTTTCAGATCCCCTCCCCTTCAGCGGGAATGTACGTGCATACGAGCCTAGCTCAAAAAAGTCAACGTGAGTGATCACACGACTCCGCCACAACGACACCGCACAAGAACTTCTTTTCCTTTCGTTTTTTAGACAACTTTAGAGAGTATTGAAGCTTTACGCAAACTTTCCAGAAAATAAACAAACTACTCGCAAATATATAGCGTGCGTAGTAGTAAATTGACAGTGTAGTGTTCCCTCACCCAGCATACGACTGGTAATGTAAGTGCATTGCTTACTACAGTCCTACCTTAAGGGTATTGTTTTCAGATTTTCACATAAACATGCCGTACTCTGTGTTAATCTGCGTACTATTGATGCTCTGTATATCAACTTCTAGTGCAGGATTACTACAGCGAAGAGGAAAAAGACAGGACATCCACATATTACAAGATCAGCCATCAGGGAATGGCAATGGTGGTTATTATGGTTCATCATGTAAGTATGTACATCACGTAATAGACATCTGCTTTTTGAGCACATACAAGGGGTGTCCCAAAAATGTGCACAGTTTTATCGTTAATAACTTTTGCATTGAAGTGCCCATCTTTAGATATAAGTAGGAGCAGATCCCAATCGCTCTTCCCTACTTATTATTATGATAGCAATTTCCAGCATACAGAATCACACGAAACACGCGTTTGATGAAATTTTTCGAAAGTTTGGAAAATTATGTTGTAGAGTTTTTAACATGTACTGACTTTATGCACCAACTTCTTACGTTCTTGAGCTTTTCTAATGATGTAGTCACTTTCTAACTTACATTCGATTCACCTGAAATAACCTAGGAAGAAAGCATCACAAGTGCAAGCTTTGTGATCGAATTCAGCAACTTTAATTAGCTGATGTGAGAGCTTTTGGCATGTTTTGTTTTCTTTCTGAGACTAAAATGACTATCGAGGGGCAACGATCAAACATTGTGCACATTTTCTGGGCGCTCTGTGTTTGCTTGTTTTTGTAGATACTTCTTATGTTTACTCAGTACTTTGAAATAGTCTTGAGTAAACGGAACGAGGTGTAATGCCACTTACATTTCGCACTAGATTCTGTTTAATATTTCACTGAAACCTTTTTCCTGGAGCTAATTTAAGCAATTGTATTGCGCGACGGTTTCGAACCGCGTCTGAGTTTCAAAGCTTCATTGAGTTCGTCTTTATTGAATGAAAAGGTATTTGATTCCTGAATTCATAAGGACGTAGCGAATTAGTTTCCAAAAATGTGCGTCGCTTATAAGACCACCACAATATCAAAGAGAAGGGAAATTAAGTACCAATTACTTTGGCGTAGCAGACCAGTTTATTATAACATAATATTTCTGGGTCTTTGCTATAGCCATAATTCCGCTTTGTTCTCCCTTAAATAGAATCGTGCTTGCACATGCCGCCGGCGCTTCTTGCACTTGCACTCTTACTTTTTGCTACCTTCTTCTACAATTCCTGCTCTGTCTCCTCAAAACTAGGAAAAGCTCGTCTATAGAGTAACTTCAAAATTCTTTTTTATAATCAAACAACAAAGTTGCGCACATGTACTTAGGATTCTCAATCAACACGGTGAAAATGGGCCACTTGTTCTTGCGCGTTCTCTCTTAAGCTTAAGTATTATTGTGACGGCGCAAGGTGGCAAAACAATATGTTGACTATCAAATTCATGTAAGATCATTTTAGGTTAAGATTTTACAATAACTTTTGATCACCACATTTGAGAGTGGCAATAAATCCAAGACACATACAAAATGATTCTTTCGATCACACTTTGACTCGAAAGCCCTATCCTTATTTGATGTACCAGTTCCTGTTCTAGTCTCAGTAGATTGCAAGGGGAATCAGCGATGTGGGGCACATCACAAATTTTCCAAGAAACAGTATTTGCAGCAACGAGAATCAAATGAAGCAAAGTCAAGTTATTTCAGATAACTCCATGATGATGATGTGGCCCTGGATGATGTTGCCGCTTATGTACGGTGGCTACGGCGGTTATGGTGGCTACGGCGGCTACGGTGGCTACGGTAACTCTGGTATATCTAATATTTGGCCTTGGTATATGGGCATGTATATGGGTTGCGCCATGTGTGGAAATTAAGTCAAATGTTCCGACGACTCTCTCTGCTGGCATGCGATCATGGCTGTTGTCATAATATTAATTCATCGTTGTTTCTGGTTAAATTGTATTCATGCAAAAAAGGGAATAAATCTCAAATCCTTGGACCAGTTGGCATGGTTGATAACTCCGTGTTGACTAACTCCCGAAGACATTTTTCAACATCAAATAGGTAAAGTCATGCAGGAATTAAATCGGCAACTCAGTTGCAAATAGTGGCTGCCTTAAGTCAACGTACAAAATCTGTTCATCAACATAAAGAATAAAAATGGCATTGTATAGTAAGGTGTCTCTTTGTGGCGAACGTTCGGCCGTAAGCGCTTCAGGGAAAAAATAGAAATTCAAATTCAGAGACTTCATTCTGCCTATGCAGCCTTTGTCTGTGCTTGTGCAGCAGATACTTGCTTTGCAGCAGATACGGGACAAAAACATTGCTATTAATATGGTTAGATCATGTTATGTCCGATTGACAAATGGTAGGCAATGTTCTCCTCATCTTTTTTGGATCTCCGGAGGCAGCTCTTAGAACAAACAGCAGTTGAAATTCTCTATTCAAACAGAGAACACCGGAATAACCTGAGTGCTCAATGGTCTGATATGCATGTTTATAATTACGGATATGCAGTGGCAATCAACATATGTCAAAATCGTCTTTTAGTCCATCAGCATTTTTTCTGCTGTGTTCGGCATTAGGTTTCATTGAGCGTAAAGCGCCTACAAAATTGATCACCTATTTGCATAGACTAAAAGGGCTGATAGGAAAGGTACTCTCCAGTTATCGTGGTATTTAAAACGCTTGAAAGGCATCATGAAGAATGTTTGGGGAAAAACATTTTGAAGCTATCTGTCCTTACTTTAACTAAGAATAAAAGTCAGAAAAAAATTGTTAATGGTGAAGTGCCCTACTACTGTGTACAGTCGCAGAATTTTGTTTAACGGTTGGAAAAAGAAACAATGTGCCTTTGAAACTTTACGACACAGCCATTTTATCGACTTCTCCCATTCTGGACATACAACCCGTTGGTATCAATTTTTCTCGTGCCTTTTTTCATTTGCCGAGGTCGTATGGTCCGAAGGTGATCTTTTAACTAGGCTTCCCCTAGATATCTCCCAACATGTGCGGACATCCCATGTACTTCCATCGTAAATCTGCAGTGCCTAATGGTACAGAGGTGGGTCGTGTGTCTGAAATGGCAGTACACGTGCGACCCACAGGTGGGTCGTCTTGTCGTGAATGTGTTAATAAACCAGAGGACAGAGACTGGAAAATAATGGTTGCTGAGTATTTTACTGATTATTTTACTTACTTTTATTTTTTTCTGAGTATACTTTCGTAAGCATGGCTGTCATTGCGAAGATGGGGAAAATAAGAGGTGTTAGCGATAGTTGTTGACACTGATAAGCACAACATCAACATGTAAAGTGAATAATTTTTTCCAAAGGGTTCTGGCTCGCATTACATGAACCAAATATATAATATATATATTAGGTCGCTCCGAAAGTTCTTTCTGTTTCTTCAACCTATCATAAAAACACGTGAAATAAAGTTAGGGAAATGCTGCAGAAACCATCCGACGCAGCTTTTCTTCCTCTTTTTGACTATCATATTTCTGTGCCGCATGCCCTTGTGGTCATTGAGATAATTGCTTAAAAAAATGAGTTATGATGGTTTCTCCCCGGAAACTAAACGAATCAGAAACAAAAAACACCTGTTAGAAGGATGAGAAAATGCTGCATCTAGTAGTGCAAGAGCTGCTGTTCTTTTGATGTTCTACGAGGATTTAGCTGCCCAAGTATGGAAATCGGTAGCATCGGTCAAAATTCTGTTAAAAATGAATGACAAGCTGTAGATTGAGAAAAAAATTGTTTTGCTTCCTGTAAGGTTTGCTTTATAGATACTTTACTTTCGCTTCTTCGGAGGTTTGATAGAAAAGTTTAGAAAAATTGTGAAACTTGACCATCTCAAAAAGCATGAGTAGCAGATTTTGGTATTTCTGAAAGCTCATTGACTGTTTTGCAACAATATCATAACCCTTAGAAAAAGAATGAAATGCTGCATCGAATGCTTCCAAGATCTCTTTGAAACCTTTGTTCCATCAAATGTGGCGCCCGTTTGAAAAGAGCGAAGTACTTTTGAAACGACCTAATATTAGTGATGCAAAAATAATGAGCGTTTTCCCAAATTTTCAGAACACTTTTCTCCATCGTTCTTCTTCCTTTGTAATAGTTTCAGCATATTGTTAGAAGGCTCTTTTTGCTCTTTCTAAGGATGTCCAAAAGGTTCTAGCCCACTGTGTTAAGAATTTATAGAGTTTAAAATAATCGCACTCAAAACCAGATTTTCGTTGCACTCATTTTTCCGGCCAGAATTTGAGCGCAAATGAAGGTGGTCCATCGAAAAATTGGCAGCTATATGTAATGGAAATCGTCTACATTATGCATGTTTAACCATATTTTTTGAAGCTATCTGAAGTGAGATATCGGCGGCTTAACATGGGTAATGGTTATGGTCATTTTAGAGCCCATAACTTTCTTTTGTAGAATGTAGTTGCTCAAACTTTGCTCATCTCTGTAAGCGTGAGGGTAGAAGTCCTATAAGCAGTTTTTGCAAAAACATCTAGCTGTACATACGCAGAAAATTAGAAAATTCTATATTTCGAGGTTTTGAGGCCTACTGAAATATCTGAAAAAGTTGATATTTTTGGTTTTCGATTTTTCCCTCTTCGCTAATCTTTTTTCTCCAAGCTCTTTCCATGTATATTTGTACTACTGGCTTGCGGCTACTTAGACTGCTAGATAGATTATAGTGCGATAGATAGACTGCTTATAAATTATAGTTACAAAGTGTGAAAGAAGTTATGTTTTGTCAAAAACAAGACTTCAGGAAAAAACTTTTTTTGTTTTTCTATCCATATTTTTCTGCCCATATGAGATATGAGTATAGGTCAATGTGCGCTGCACTGCGAAAAGTTCGCTGCATATGATGGTTTCTATCAAATTTCAAAATGTAGATTTTATAGCAAGTTATAGCAAGTTAAAGTAAAAAATGGGAAAACGCTCATTATTTTTGCATCAACCTAATATTAGGTTGTACCGAAAGTTTGTTCGCATCACTTTCAAAAATTCATAACTCTTTGAATTCTTAACAAATTTGTACGATCAAAATTTTGCGTAAAAGAGGAATTCATGCTCTTTGCAAATGTACGTGTAATGTTCGTTATTATATACAAATGAAGGAGATAGAAGCTTAAAACCAAAATCACCCAAAATTTGAGGTTTTCGTCATTTCCTCAGACAACTGCATCGGGAAGTTCGCGGGTGCTTGCTCGGCCACCAATCATCCATGCCGCGAGCTGCCCGGTATGAACCGATATTGTACCCGATAAGTGACCGCGGCGCATCCTGTAAGCGCCCGACAGATGACGCGATTAGCGTGCTTGTGAGGCCTAGGAAGAGTGAAAATCTTTTGGATTGTTTTTCATGACAACGATTTGAGTGCAAATTGAGCAACTAGTTAGCTCATCTGTCGACATCATCTAATGTCGTCGATAACACTTCCGATTGCTGAAGTTTGTTTCGTAAGCATAAAAATTTAACTGTCAGACAGGACCAAACCCGAAAGCGATTACCTACCCTTACAAACACTTAGGGTAGCCCCATCACTGCGGCGTACCTCACGCGGGTTGCGCTTTAACCTACAGCGTGTAAGAAGTACGGCCTTTGATAGGACCCGCGGCCCGTCGAATGAGGTGATTGGGCCGCGACTCTCCCGGTAACCTCTTTCCAATTTCAACTTAAGCCGCGGCGTCTCCGGTAAAATTTACATGGGCCGCGGCGTGCGCGGCTGAAATTTTAAGGGCCGCGGCGCCCCATGTAGCACGCTTTGAGGCCGCGAACTTTCCGATGCAATTGTCTGAGTCCCTGAAAAATGCCAAATAAATCAAAATCGCCCTTTTGTATTGCATGCTCGAAAATCGTAACTTTTCATAGAGACGCTCAACCAGCGCAAATTTTGCACTGTCAGAAAGAGCTGGTAAAAGAACCTACAATACTGACTGCTCCGATTTTTGTTGCAAGTTTCCGATTTTTTATGAACCTACACGAAAAATTCGAATTTTGACTGATTTTGGTTTTTAGCTTCTATCTCCTTCATTTGTAAACATTAACGAACAGTTCAGGTACTGTTGCAAAGTGCATGATTTCCTTTCTCATACAAAATTTTGATTATACAAATTTATTGAGAATTTAAAGAGTTATGAATTTTTAAAAAATGGTGCGAACGAACTTTCGGTACAACCTATTACAGAGTGTCCCAAAAGTAAGTACACACTTTTCAATCGTCAATATCTCTCTTCCCAATGGGTCTTTTTTTACCCTTCAAGCACCATTATGTACAGGAGACTTCAACTTAGATTTACAACATCGAGCGAACCACCGATCGCTCTTAGTTACTGTAGGATTACGGTAAGAACTTTCGGCATGTGGAACTTTTGTGAAATATGCCATCTGACAAAGAATTTTCAAAAAATCTGAAAAATCGTCTTACTAGGGTTTTCGCGCACGCTGATTCCACTACACAACTTTTCACAATTGTTTTCAGCTTTTTTGACGGTAAAATCACACTTCTGACAAATACTGAAAATTCAGTTATAACGGTTTACCTGAAATAACTTTGAAAAGAAGCATCACAGTAAAGTAGAAACTTTATATTCGAAATCAGCGGCTTCCATTACTATAGTGTAAGAGTTTTTGGCGTGTTTGGTTTTGTTCCTAGGCAGAATATGGCTTTCAATGGCCTAAAATCCTTGTCGAAGCTCCTACAGTAATCCTACAGTAACGAAGAGCGATCGGCGATTCGCTCGATACCGCAAATCTAAGTTCCTCTACAGAATGGTACTCAAATGGTGGAAAAAGACACAATGGGAAGAAAGTTATCAACGATTGAAAAGTGTGTACTTACTTTTGGGACACCTTGTATATCTATTTAACCAAATAAAAAGTTTTTTACCATATTTCTCCTGGAAATATAACAATTTCTAAGTCAAAATTTACAAACATTAAC